AATCCTCTTTCCTTCAACGATCCAATGAAACTAAAAAAGTAGCCTTCTAAACAATGAGAATATAACGATTCTTCCCAAAGAATTGCTTAGTCTATCGTATAACCAAACTTCTCCAAATTCAAAAATAGAAGAAAAAGCTTGGAACCCAATTGAATCCTTTTTCCACCAACGATCCGATAAAACTAAAAGGGTAGCCTTCCAAACAACCAGAATATAACCATTACCCTAAAGAATCGCTTAATCCATCCAATAAACAAACTTCTCGAAATTCAAAAATAGGAAAAAAAACCTCGAGACCAATTCAATCCTCTTTCCATCTAAAGGAAAGAACCAAACGATCTAATAAAACTAAAGAAGTAGCCTTTCAAACAATCAGAATACAACCATTACCCTAAAGAATCGCTTAATCCATCGAATAAAAACCAACTTCTTCGAATCGAAAAAAGAAAGAATTAGAGCCATCCGCTACACCTGTTCCACAAGGATGATAGCAGTGACTCTTGCAGCGCTTACACGCGAGTCCTTTGGCAAAAGTGGACGACGAAGACGTTTTTCGATTTAATAAAAGAGTTGGAATCCGGAATCGATGGGTTGTCCCCGGGTGTCGTCCGCGTAGCAATCCGCTTCGTCCCAAACAAATACCAGGAGCCAGCCAATATTGATCCCGCGACAGTTCCTCCTTTCGCGTCTTCCGGTCATCCTTGGAACAATGGCCATCGTCGAGCACGCCCGGCTAATGAAACGCTTTTAACAGTTGATTCTTCCCAAAGAATTGCTTAATCTATCGTATAACCAAACTTCTCCAAATTCAAAAATAGAAGAAAAAGCTTGGAACCCAATTGAATCCTTTTTCCACCAACGATCCGATAAAACTAAAAGGGTAGCCTTCCAAACAACCAGAATATAACCATTACCCTAAAGAATCGCTTAATCCATCCAATAAACAAACTTCTCGAAATTCAAAAATAGGAAAAAAAACCTCGAGACCAATTCAATCCTCTTTCCATCTAAAGGAAAGAACCAAACGATCTAATAAAACTAAAGAAGTAGCCTTTCAAACAATCAGAATACAACCATTACCCTAAAGAATCGCTTAATCCATCGAATAAAAACCAACTTCTTCGAATCGAAAAAAGAAAGAATTAGAGCCATCCGCTACACCTGTTCCACAAGGATGATAGCAGTGACTCTTGCAGCGCTTACACGCGAGTCCTTTGGCAAAAGTGGACGACGAAGACGTTTTTCGATTTAATAAAAGAGTTGGAATCCGGAATCGATGGGTTGTCCCCGGGTGTCGTCCGCGTAGCAATCCGCTTCGTCCCAAACAAATACCAGGAGCCAGCCAATATTGATCCCGCGACAGTTCCTCCTTTCGCGTCTTCCGGTCATCCTTGGAACAATGGCCATCGTCGAGCACGCCCGGCTAATGAAACGCTTTTAACAGTTTCGTTTCAATCCTGCTCCGCTCGACGTGGCGAGCCATCCACCCAGCTCCTGAAACGTCTACAGAGTCTCAGGATCGGTACGATCCTACGGGAATTGCGCTCTACGTTTTGGTCTGCGGATGCTTCCGACCATTCTTTCCACGAGTGGAGTTTAGTTGAAGCTTCGGCTGCGGGAGATGGGGTCGAGGGCGATGCTAGGACCAATGCTTCCGTAGAGATTGATTTCTATTGTTTCGCGAACGGTGTACGGTGAACGATGGAAAAAATTCGACAGATCCTAGCGTTAAAACGTACATTTTAATCTTCTTTTGTAAATTGTTCACCGCAGACATTGATTTCTATTGTTTTCCCAACAAAAACCGACAATTCCAATTTTAATCTTCTTTCGATTTGACCAACTTTTTACTTTTCGTTAATTCTCTAACTCTTTCATTAATATTGGTAAATACCGAAGATCGTTAAAGAAGAGAAACAGCGGAAAAGGTAAAACTTCACCCTCCATCGGGCTCGAACGACACGATTACGAGACACACGGGCTCACTGCCAATAGCAACGTTTTATCTTGCCCGAATCGAGCCCTGCCATTCATCAAAATCGTCCCCCCTAGGCGCCACCGATTCCCATGAATCGTTCCGCCCGCGTAAACGATATTTAAGGCGCGAATAATTAATAACTCACATGGAAACTCACAATGAAAAAATATAATTTTC